TGAAAAATTTGTAATACAAATAAATATGCATATATAAAAACATTATTACATACAATAGTTGTGGATATACACAAACACGAATGCAATAGTTAGATAATAGATATATACAAACATAAATGCAATAGTTAGATAAAAAAGCATTATATATTGAAATCATTTTCATATAAATTTACATATTGTTTAATACAGAAATGCAATTAATGCGACCCGGGCACCCCAAGTTTTTTCTTCATTATAATCTAGTTTATCACTTTTCCATTTTTCAATTTTTGAATATTTTTCATAAATAAGCTTTTTTGAGGTCTTTTTTAATAATGAGGTACTTGGTTAATTTTATTGATTTCACGACTATTTTTAATCAACACATTTTTTTAGGTACTTGGCGTATATTCTTTCTTTTTTTAAAAAGATTTTTTATGGGTATAATTATATCTAATAATTTACATAATTTATACATTTAAATTGCGTATATTTAAAGTAGATATACGTTGTTAGATTTAAGATAAAATAGAAATTATAAAATAATATAATTGTAAAATTTTTTTAACTATTGTCACATTTTTTAATATTTGTAATTAATAATTATTTGTAAATAATTGTACTGTATTACTGTTACATTTTATAATAATGTTACGAATTTTTTTAATATATAAAACATTTTGTTTTAATAAAATCAAATAAATTTAAATTTATTAATTATTCTTTTAATTTTAAAGAACAAAAAAAATTTTTACTATTGTTCAGTGGCTACGTAATAACAAGATTTATTCGATATTTGGCATCAATTTGTTGTCAGGTTTTGTCGCTAAGGTTTACTTGATATTTGGTGTCAATTTGGCGTTCGATTTTGTCATTAAAATTTGCTCGATTCTTGGCGTCAATTTGGCATTAGGTTTTGTCGCCAAGGTTTGCTCGGTATTTGGCGTCAATTTGGCGCCAGGTTTTGTTGGATTGCTGGATATTTGACGTAAATTTGGTATCATGTTATTACCAAGCTTTGCTCAGTATTTGGCGTCAATTTGGCTTGAAGTTGTGTATATGCATGCCTTGCTAGCAATTTGTTGACAACATTTGATAAGACAAACTTTGTTACAAATTTGTACTGTTTCTGACGTCAAAATCTGTAGCAAATATTTGTCGTTATTTGTCCGAACAGATTTGGCTATCTGGGAATGTTGTAATTTGTTTCAACCAATTAATATGATTAGTTTACTTTGTATCGTTCGTGTAAATTTTGTGTAATGAAATTATAGATTCAATAGATTTTCTTAATTTGTATATATGTCTTATATTTTCTATACAGGATATCCCAGAAAGGTCGTATGTCCTTTCATTGGCAGATAAAAATAATAATAAAAATTATAAATATTAATATTATATGTTTTCTTCCAGGTTCTAATAATCACATTAGGCGTTATAGGCAATGGCTTCTATTATTTTGTCTTCTAATTCTTCGAGATCATCAATCGGTTTCTGGTAAATATATTGTTTTAAGTGACTCCATAAAAAAAAGTCCATAAGATTTAGATCCGGTGATAATTGTATAAAAATTGAGACGCCTACAGCAAAAGTAACCTAACTGTCAAAATTCAATTTTTAAACTTAAAGCGTTATTAACTTAAAAAATCATTAATGTTTTTAAATAAAAAACTCAATTTCTATAACTAGATATTTTTGCGATAAGCGCATCAATTATGTCAATATTTAAATGTGAGTCAATGGACAAGGGCACCTCGCAATCGCGTGCGCAATGTACCATGCCTGAGCGCGCAAATTTCAGACGCCGTAATAGGATAACTTTAATCGGTTATAATTTGAAAAGTATTATAGCCTCGACATTTTCGTATAAGAGTTTTCGTCTTAGAATGCTCTCTAGAATCTGCCAGTGAAAGGACATACGACCTT